GGTTGGGGGGCAGGGGATGGTGTGGGTGGCCTGGGCAGCTCCTGTGAACTCAGGAGGCAGCAACTGGGAGAGCAGGGGTACAGCTGTTGGGGTGGCTAGCTGTTCCTGGACTCTGGCTGTGGAGAAGTGTTGGAGCTGTGACTGGGGAGTCCAACCTGACTGTTGTGGAGAAGCAGCTGTAAACATCTGAGGGAGCTGTGTGGTGGCAGGGCTCTGGCTGCCAGGCCTGTGTGGGTTGGTTCCGTGGTCTGGGGTGAACTGTCCCTGCCAGGGCTGGGCTGTTGTGGTGATTGTCCTTGGCTGTGGGGGCCTGGCTGCTGCAGGGCCCTGCTGGTCCAGGGCTGACGGGCCTGGGATGGCTCCTGGGGGGCCCTGAGGATGATGCAATGTCTGCTGCAGGTAGTCAACTTGTACAGACCTCGGGCTGTTGTGTGCTAGAGTCTGGGTGCCCTGGGGTGCAGTTAGTGAAGATCAGCTCGCCCCATCTTTCCCTCTTTCTGTGTTTTGCTCTGTCTTCTGTTTACACCTGGCTTTCCATCTGCACCTCTCCTGCCCCCTGGACCCTCCACCCCCAGACCTCCTGTTTCCACACAAACACTTGCTGTATGTGTATATTGGTTGGAGCAGGTGCCTCAGGGGGACTCTGGGCCCTGCTCATGGGGAAGAGGTGGGACCCCCTCCCCTGAAGACTGTCCCTGCAAATGCAGTCATTGGTGGGGCACAAGGGCTGGCTGCTGTGTCTCAGGGACCCCCTTTTTATGGCTCCTTTCCTTGAACTTAAAGGCCAAGTCCTAGGGGGCTTGGATGGGCCTGGGTATGTGGGGTTCAGGAGGCCCCAGCCAAAGACACTGGGCAGTTGTAGGGACCCTCCCCTGGGGACAGAAAGGGTCGTGGGCATCAGGAGAGGGAGCACCCATGCTGATATCTGGGGGTGGGGGAGTGTTCTAGGCAGAGAGAGCAGCCCATGCAAAGGCCCTGGGGTGGGAATGTGCCCAATGTGTTGTGGTGCAGCGAGGAGGCCAGTGGCTGAGCAGAGTGAGGGGCAGGTGGGGGAGGTGGGAGCAGAGTATGCAGGACTTTTTGGTTTTTACTCCAAGTGAGGTGTGAACCACTGAGGCCAGGCACATACAGGCTCTGAGCACACACTGGGGCACCCCACACACAGCCCCTGCATGATGTCTCCTGCCATGGCAGATGGAGTGTTGATTAAGCCCAGGTGGGGACCATTCCAAGGCTTTCATGTCTGGGAGCCTTGTCAGGGCCCAAGGCTTTCTGAAGAATGGGCTGGGCTGGTCAAAGCTGTGGGAACAGCCCTGTGGTCCCCCTGACCCCAACACCCCTGGGCAGCCTACTGAGCCAGGAGGGAGTATGAGGCACGTGGACGAGCTTGGGGCAGAGGGCTCTGAACACAGGCCTGGAAGGAGGCCTGGCCTCAGCCTCGGCTCTCTGAGTATGATGAATAGGGACTGAGGGAAGCATTTTCTCACACCTGCTTGCAAACCTTCCTGTGATGAGCAGCTCATTACTCACCAAGGCAGCCCAGGCTGGTTGGTGTGCTAGAATTCTTAGAATGTTCTTTCAAATGTTTGACCCCAACCTGAACTGCTCTGTCCATGGTCCCAAAGACACACAAAACTCACATCTTTCTCCAAACATGTTACTCTTCCTATATTTATCAAGTGTCTTATGGAGGTGGATGTCATCGGGGACACAGATCCAGAGTAATTATTGCTGTGATGGTGGAAGCCCACGGGGCCCTGGGCACAGAAAAGGCTCCTGACCTGAGAGGGGGTCAGTCTGGTGGGCTTTCTGTAGGAGGTGACATCTAAGCTGGGTCCCCTGTAGGATGAGTGAGATTTGGCTGGGGAAGAGGTGAGGAAAGTGTTCTAGGCAGAAGGAATAGCACGTGCAAATGAGAGAACAGCCTTTTGGAAACCTTGGCTGGAACTCTGTGTTTGAGGGGGGCTAATGAGGCCAGCAAACGGGTAAGGGGACCCTGGAGCAGTGACCTCCGTGGGAGACAAGTGGCACCCTTTGTATTTCCTAGTTGTCTTGCCAGGAAGAAACTTATACGCCTGCCCACCCCCACCCCAAGTACAGGGCTGCATCCTTCCTAGCATTGGGTTTTATCATTTAAAAAACCCTTTCAAATTCACATGGGGAAAATGGTATCTCACGGTGGAAAGGAAGACAAATTAGCATTCCTCTTGTAATTACCTGGACTGTGTTTCCAGATGTGCCTGTGAGTATCCTGAGGCCTCACACCCAGCAGAGAACATGCATCCTCTCAGGAGAAAAGAAAGCCACGTGTGTGGGGAAGGGACTGGGAAGTCTTCTTGCTCTCCTTTGATTCATCTTCTCCCCGTGCCCTCTCCTTTTATGTCCCTTCACAGTTTTAAATCTCTCTGTTCTCTTTTGGAGGATGGGTTCCCATGTGCATGTAACTTTGTCCTTGTCTGGGGTGTCTGAACTCAAAGGGCAGGGCTATGAAGCCCTGGAAAGGTGTTCCATTAGAGAAAACTCTGATGTCTTAGACACAATTTCCCATTTAATTCTCAGAACACCTGCTTATAGTGGAGACCCTTAAACCCACTTTACAGATGAGGAAACTGAAGCTCAGAGAGGCTAAGGCACAATCTCAGTGTCCAATGACCAATATGTAAAAGGCAATTCTATTGGCTGCTTTTTTTTTTTTTTTTTTCTGAGCCATCCTGCCATCTGTTGGCAGCTCAGCGGCAGCTCAGCGGCAGCTCAGCTCAGGCCAGGACTTGAACCACTGTTGCTCAGAGCTCAAACTCTTGAGCAAGCTCTTAACCAACTGAGCCATTTGGCTGGCCCCTATTGGCTGCTTTTCTTGGCTTCATTTAACCAGCTCTCCTTCAGACACTCCGATTCTGTGTACTTTGATTTAGGGTCCAGGGTAGTAGGGCTGCTAGCTGTCCATCTCCACAGGAAGTCTACTGTCTCACCGCCCAGTTAGGGAACAGGAGCCCTGCCTGTCACCTAGGAAGGGACTCCGCACCAGCCTTACACTTCAGGGAAAGAAATAGAAACAAGAGCGAGTGAGAGGAAAACAGAACATCCATTGTTCTTGGAGGGCCTGACTCCTGAGTTCCACCTTGGTTCCAGTTCCATGTTTGCCACCAAAATCGGATGTGACCTTGTTTAATTCCTTCCCAGCTCTGGGTCTCCATTTCCCTTTCTACTGAGTTTTTATTCTAGCAACTCTGCTTTTTATGAGACTGACGCGCTACCTACTGCGCTAACGAGGCACCTAACTCTGCTTTTTATATCCGAGCTCTTTTATATCTACCTGTTCTCATTTCATAGTCACCTGTTCTTGTTTTATGGCCATTATTCCATCTTTGATCTCTTTGAGTCATCTAAGATATTTGTTGTTAAAACCTTTTTAGATTGCTCTTAATCTTTGTTTCTTCAGATGCAAATTTCTAGTTGGGGAGTTTGTGAGGACTTCATGAAGGGGTGAGGCATCGTCACTCAGGATTTCTCCGCTGTGCACCTGCTCAGGGCTTATGAAGCATGTGCTCTTGGCCTCACGTGTTAGGGCCCAGCACTGGTCCTAGCCTCCTGTGGCTGAGTGGGGGCTTCGCCCTTGTCATTGGGCACCTCTGCTATGGTCTCTTGTTCATGTTAGTGTTTTCCTGCCATTTCTAAGTGTTTGCGGTGGGATGAATGGTTTCAATGTGTACAGTAAGCCCTTGCTCAACGTTGTTGACAAGTTCTGTGACTTTAAGAGAAACAACATATAATGAAACCAATTTTACTGCAGGTTAACTGATACAAACAAGAGTTAAGTTCCTACTGTACCTTATCCATGTTATGACAAAATGATGTTGAATGAAACATTATCCGAGGACCTGTTGTACTTGATTTGTTATCTTGAAGCTAAGTCCAATTTTATGATGTGTAAACATTGTGCAAATGAGGAAAAGGAAGCTCAGAG